TATATATAAAAAAAAAATTAAGTTTATTTTAATATATTTAATATAATTTTAATAATTTTAATAATATATAAATATATTATAAATATAAAATATTTAAATAAACTTATTTAAATTAAAATTATTTTATATATATAATAATATAATAAAATAAAACTAAATATTTAATAAAATTTAGCTTATTATTAATAAAAAATAAAAATTAAATTAAAATAAAATAAAATAATAAAAAAAATAAATAAATAAGTTTGTTTTAATTTAATAAATAAAATTAATTTAGTACGCTTATAATATAGTTTAAGAGCTATTATAGGGCCGATCAGGTTTTAACACAGAAAGAGCTGTGGGCCACCGTAGAAATGCCCCGCGCTTCCAGCTAGAGCTGCCCCCACATAGGTAGAAACCCGGCGCTTACATACGCCTATCCCCCTGCCTATCCCTCCCGTCCACCAGCTATCCCTGCACCTACTGTAGATAGTTCCTACCTGCATAAGGGACTCTACGCTACGCACTCCACCTCTACGACGCCATTGTCGGACCATATTGCATCCTAGCCCTCCCGGCTCTGATCATGGCTAAAGACGGGTGAACATACTTACTTTTTGCGACAATTGTACTTGTATCGACAGGAGCCTGCACGCAAAATTCTACTGAGGCAGGCCAGCCGACTTCTCTACTTGCCACGTCACAATGGAAGACGAACAGCAACAGAACGCCACCACCTGGCCACCGCCGCCCCCGTTTTGGAAAGACTTCACACCCGATAATATCGCTCGCGTCGATGAACTACGGAAAGAAAAGGCCGAGAGCTTAGGGGTACAAGACACTTCAAAGGTCCGTCTCGACGGCTTACCCCGCGAGCTGCGCAACCTCCAGCCTCCAGACGAACCGGAGGATGGATCGTGGCGCGTCTTCGGTGAAGCATATAGACTGCAGCTTGAACCCCCGCAGCTCGACGATGGACAGATTCAACGGCTATTCCCCAATTCTGAGGAGAGGGACCAAGACGGCAAGCATTTCGACCGCGCCACCATTCTCAAGCGATTGGCAAAGTCACTGCTGCTGAATTTTCTCGAACTCACCGGCCTGTTGGCCACCAGTCCCGAATCCGTACGTCGCAGACCAGCTTCCCAAGCTAGCTTTGGTCTTTATCTATTTCTTATTCGGTATCTTCTTCTGACATAGAACAAATAATAGGCTCAGGACAAAATCAAAGATATCCAGGATCTCTTCATCAACTTCCACCACCTTATCAACGAGTATCGCCCGCACCAAGCTCGCGAGTCCCTCATCTCCATGATGCAATCGCAGCTAGATCGGACGCGGGCCGAGACGAATGCCATACGCGACGCGAAAGACAAGGCCGAGCGCGTGCTCGAAGGGTTGGGTAGCCTGACAGTCGAAGACCAGATTATCGATACAACATTAGAGAAGGACGACCAATACGGCCCAGACAGGGAGGCTTGGGCGAGTCTATTAGATTAGAACCCAGACAGAGATAGGCATCTTTTTGGAGGGGTTAAGTACAGGAAACAGCAGTTTGGCAAAATATTTTCAGGCGTTAAGTGGCAGACACAATAGCGAGTTGGCAAACCAACCGGCGTATGGTATGGAAAACATGGACTATGATACCCTTAGACTCGCTCATGGGCGAAAATCGGATAGTATATTCTTATAGCCTTGGAACTCAAAACATGCTATCACATTCAAAATACAGCCGCTACCAGAATCATTCGTGATCTCTCCTCAACACCGCGTGTAGCCGCCGGTCGGTCTCTACAGCGCCCTTCCCCGCGTTTAGCTTAAAGCATCTTGCGCATAACTCCTATCTAAACCTCTAGCGCCGGAAAGCTTCTGATTTCCCTCTTGCCCTGGTTGTTTCGTAACCAGACACAGCCATGTATTTCGTGCGTAATCGCGTCTTACATCACGGTGCAAGGAATGCAGCAGCATTCAACGCCGTCGCACTCGATGCATCGCGTCTTGCCGCCCGTCGCATCAGCCGGCTTGATGATATTTTCGAATGTGGAGGATGCAGCACTGCCCGGGCCGTTGCGGTTGACGAGATTTGAGTTTGAGGAACCACAGGCCATTTTCGAATCGCCCTTGTTTGATTTTCTCCTTATTTCCTATTAGGTTCCGGGTCTGGCCGTTAGCGCCACTATTCATTGCCGGGCTACTTCAATAATTGAAGATTCGATCAATACGGAGTTTGATCTCACAGGTACCTACAAGATAAAACAGTATATGTGGTTTCTAGGCGTATTTTTAATTTAAAATCGTGGGGTTGACCAAAACAGACACTTGTTGAGTTAGAGATAAGGAGTTGACCGCATGTGAAGCTTGTTTCGAGTACAGACACGGATGAAACCTACGGTGAACAAGCTGACTCATCATGACGTGACTTATATGTGCGACCAGTTCAGGTTAATAATACTGAGTTTTATTATGCTGTGCTACAAGTTCATTTCTATCTTTTCTGTATTCTTTTTTTCCCTCTTCTTTTCTTTTTATCATTATGATAGAGATCAGGCGATTTATTGTAACAAATCATTCTATACCCCCGAGTTTCTTTGAAGAAGGTTGTTAGCTTAGGCCTCTTCCTCTTCGAATCACTCATACGTTTCTGATACACAAGAGCATAAATCGAGATACATACTCAATGAATATGACTCACAATAAACGGAATCCTGCGAGCACTTGCGGGAGAAGTATGCCTACCATGCAATTTGTTTATTGTATGTCCAAACAACTGAGTGACACCTGTGTGGTGGTACTGGCATACCACGCCATCTCCGAGGCCTTGCACGCCGGGCAAGATTCGAGCTAAATCATTCAATGTTGACGCCCTAGGCAAGTGCCTTAGGGGTCGCCTCCTCAACGATTACTGGAACACAGAAACACCACCCCAAGCTCGTTGTCGTAACAGCCTATGAAAAATCAGTTAGCTCAAATACTCAGAACACATGGTTTTGAGCTAGGATGCAGATTAGGGACCAATACATGAGCCTACCAATTACAAAGGCAGGTACAATCCTACAATCCTATCCTACCTATTTTGTTTTCTCAGCCCTCCTTTCCTCGTATCATATAAAGTTACCTCCATTGACGTTTCCGAAATTTTAGTGCATGCCCCTTGCATTTCATTTTACGTGTTAGACCTTTATAAGTGCAAGTAGATACACTCGATCCTTCACCCTTCTCTTTTATGCATCATCACAACTATTCTCCGTTGCCATGTAGCAATAACCGACCCTTTCAATCCCTTTCGCCGAGGCTCAACAAGTTAATCATATTGTCCGACACGAAACGATGATGTTCAACCCGGAGTTCCCGCCAACATTGGCACATTGGCTGATAGTGACCCGAACAACACTGCAGGGGATTGTGGCTACTATGCAGGCATGCAAACGGAACCTAGAGAGGTGGAAGAGTGCAAACCAGGAGAATCTCGAGCTCATCGGAAACACGCCAGAAGCAGAGATGGACCAGATCTGCCGCTACGCAGAGGCCCACCTGACTATCTGTGACCAGATCGAGTCCTACCCTCTCGAAGGCAACCTGAACCAAAAAATGTACGCTACCATAACGGCAATAAGACTTATGCATCAACGAATCAGAGCCATTTGTCCACGCCCAGACGAAATCCCATTGACATCCCAGCCTACGAATACTCGGCCTCGTGGCAACAGCAGTAGCTAGGCAAGCCTATTTTAAGGCTGGAATCACTTGTGATAAGCTTACTGGGGGATCGGACCCGTAAGAAGCGAACCTGCACAAGAAAGGGATGGACAGATAGGCTGTCACGGAAGAGAACCGCAACACTATATACACTACGACATTACCAAAGTAAAACTTCGTCAAGGTGAGAATCTTGACCGTCTGCAACTACCGTAACATGGGCGGGCTAAGGTCTATACAACAGCCCCTTTACCAACTCATGCTTAGCACTGGGGAATTTGACTTGCATAGGTCTTTTGGACTTAGATTCCAGCAGTTCCAATATGTCCAAAAGACACGATGGCGTACTACTACTATAGCATAATGCTCACGAACACACACAATGGATTCAACAACCGTTTCGAAATAGTGAAGTTAGAATAAAGAAAAAATAAAAAATAAAAAAAATAAAGTAGAATGGAATCAGCTCTCGATCGGGGAATCGAACCCCGGCCACCTGCGGCTTGATGATAGCTCATGACCTAGTGCCCACTATCGTGAGACTAGACAGGACGCCAATGACAAGCAGGTATCCTTACCACTAGACCAATCGAGAATTCTCTTTTCTGTGATTTGATGAAAGGTCTCTCTGCAAATCAGACATTATTATTTCCTGGCCGGGAGGGAGACTTGCACATGTGCGAAAAGCAAAGGAGAGGAAATACGGTAGCGAAGAGATAATGGTGCTTAGATATGTGTAAATGGAAGATGCGCTCTCTATATGAACATAGAGAAACCTTTTTTCTCGTTCGGTTTATAGAGAGATATTCTCTTTTGATTGACGTTATAATCATCCCGACTCAATATTCAAGTTATCCAATTGTTTTCAGAGTGCCGCCGTCAAAGCTAGAATCAAGTACATTCCACGCCTGTTATTCTTTTTGTCCCTCCAGTCCAGGGTATCATAAAACTGTCCTCCCATGAGATTCTTCCCGCCTCTCTCCGGCTGTGAGGGGACATGCGATCGTATGGGCCACCCCAGTGAAATAGTAAGTGCAGCGGGATAAGCTTATTGTATTAGATAATAACTTTAATAAGAGTACGCTAGAGTCCTGTCGCATCTCATATTATTATTCTTAGACGTGGATGAATACATCTCATAATACTTCATCAAGCTTTTATAGGGTAGTAACCTCGCATCCCACATAAGGTAAGAAGAAGAGGATTGGACTACTGCTCTATTTTTGTCAAGGAATTTTAGCGATTATATACTCTTCCCTCACACCTAGATGGGATCATTAAGCTTTAGCAGGCATCGCGGTTAGGCACGGACGAGAGACGATATCCCAGTTCCTCTTCGTCTTTCGAACATATAAAAAACTAAATAAATAGTAATAGAAATCCCGATCTATCCTCTTTTCACGCTTGTATTAACTTGCTCAACTGAGGGAGATAGTGATTTTGCCGCAGCTACTCAAGCCAAGCTCGAGAATCTGCGACTCTGGACGAATAGAAGAAAATGAAAACAGCCAGAGGTTGCGTGTGAAGGGTGACGAGGCATGCCTGAAAGTGTTTCGGGATGGGATAAAATGTGTAAGGGGCTAAAAAGGCCGATGCAAGACTCATCGTATATCTCGTAACATGACGACGCATTAACCGAGATCGGTGGGTCGGGCTATCGCCAGATTTTAGTTGCAGCTGCGGATCCATCCCGTCTACTTAGTATCTACCTAGGTATAAACCATCGCAGATACATCGATTATGACTCAGATCATAAGCCAGCTAGCCAAGTATATAATTCCTCATGTCGCTATCTAAGTGAGCTGTATGTTTAAATAACAGTATACATTGACGTTTCACATAGTTCCGACATAGTTTATCTATTTAGACGTCACTGTAGGAAATTCATAAGCGGCTGAATCATGGTACTCGAGGTTGAGCCCAAGAACTGGTACCGCGACGAGTTCCTCGTCTCGACGGAGCAGCGCCTCCTTCAGATCGATGCAATCCGCGAGGCCATGGACTCGGAGGTCGTGTGGTGGACCAAGGCACCCCCGACCGACGCATTGCTGAAGTCGCTGCAGAATTCGCTGTGCCTTGGGCTCTACGAGCTTCCTCAGTCTACCTCTCGGATCGCGGGTAGGCGAACTCCTCTCTAGCTCTCTACGTTACCCCGCACCCTTAACTCACAATTCATGAATTCTAGGCCAGAGCGGCCCGAGGCAAATAGGACTGGCGAGATTCATCACAGATGCCGTGAGCTTCGGGTACCTCACTGACGTGTACGTGTTGCCCGAGTATCAGGGGAAAGGACTGGGGCGCTGGTTGATGGCGTGTCTGGATGATGTTATCAAGTCATGGCTGCATCTCCGCCGCGTGATGCTTGTGACCTCTGGAAGCAGGATCGAACTGTATAGGAAGACACTTGGGGCATCAGATTGGAGCGAGCGCGCGAATAAGAATCTGGTCCTTGGATTGGTTGATGGGCCGGCTGCTCTGAAACACTGATATACTGAGTTGAATACCTAGAGCTTGGGGTTTCACACCTTTGGGGCGGTCTTTCCGTACGCGCCTCCATTGGCTCGTCGCAACTCTATAGCGCGTTTATAGGGGGGTGCAGTAGGTGGCTGTATAGGGTCGAGTGATACGTGGTCTGGTGGTAGCCGGTAAGAAGCATCTGAGTCGAAGGCAGATAGGTCGCCGCATGCAATAAATGGCGCAATCCATCTTATATCCGTCTCTCTGTGTTGAGCGTGGTCCTCTGGTTCAACTTCGACAACGCCGTGCTCGTCGGTAACTTGGACGGAATCAGGAGTACTATCCCCCGCCCCCGTGGTTTGGTTCTGCACTATCGTAGGTGCAGTGATAGGAAGGCTCCTCTTGTTTTGTTCAGTCATCTCATTCAACCGGAACCCGACACCTAGAGGCTCCTCGAGGCTTGCGGAAAATCCTTTCGGAGGCTGGAAGTTCAGGCACACTATAAACGCTTCGACACTGCTGGCTCGTGATGATCTAGGCTTGGCAACATGGACTTGCTCGAAGAATATCTTGAGCTGGGCGTACAACACATCGACATTTTTGCCCCTGAATATTTTGGCGACGAATTTCCCACCGGGTTTAAGAACGCAGAGGGCCAGATTCAATGCAGCGAAGAGAAGCTGTGACTGCACATAGATGTCGAGATCGTGTAATCCAGTGACATCGGGGGCACCGTCGCTGAGCACCAAGTCGACGGGATGGGCTGCTTGCTGTGACATAGTTTTTGCATCGTAGTCAGGATCTAGGGCTTTTAGTAGAAGCGGCACCGTTGCCGGATGAGTGATGTCGGCTCTCAGTGTGATAATGCCAGGTAGAGGACTGATTGGCTGTAGATCAATAGCCACGATCTTTACGTTCTCCCGCGGCTTCAGCTCTTCGGTGTCGGGTACGATTTCAATCACCGAGGAGACGACAGGAGGCTTTGCGGAGCCGAACACACCGAGCATTTGCTGGCGGAACTTGGCATCCCGGTCCTCCCATGCTGTCCGGCCGAACTTCTCGCCCTTGATCATGACCCTAGAAAGCACTTGAGACCAACTGCCGGGCGCAGCACAAAGATCAACCACCCGCGTCACGTTAGCAAAAAGGTCGAATTCTAAGCATCTCGTTAGCCCTCTTTTGAACTGACTAATAATTTCGAGGGAGGGTAGAACAACCTTCGTCAAGCTGTAACAGTTTGAATGCACTTCTCGCTCGCCAACCTTGCTCTTTCGCGAGCCTATAATATGCATCTCGTTTGTCCTTTGACGATTTCCCCATTTTGAAGATTGATATAGGTACCTAATAACAATGAAGTATCGTCAAGTTGAAGAGGGGAGAGTTTTGGCAGTGCAAGCTGCAGCTGCAGCTGATTTTTTTAATGGGCGAATCAAATTACTTGCTTTAGTGGACTGATTTAAGCTCTGGTTCCTACTTAACTAAACTTGCCAGGGTACGTCAATCCACTATCTAATAGTGGGGTCGCAGGGTCTCCCGATAGGCGATAGGCGCTGCATAGACCTGAAATTTATTCCGTAGCTGGTTTGCGACGACGCAGCAGCGGCATGTGATATTGATCACTATCGACCACGCAACTTTCCCGAAATGAACGGCGTTAAGAAGAGGAAGCTGGCAGCCGGGGGCGCCTCCCTGTCGGCGAAGAGAACGAAAACCTCAGCCACCCCGCAAAAGTCGAAGAAGAGGAGCAAACGATCAGTCGGCATTGATTCGCTACCATGGAGCAAGGCCAAGCTCCCGGAAATGTTCAATGATGCGGAGGGGTTCTATGGGCTGGAGGAAGTAGAGGGAGTTGAAGTCATACGGGGTAGCAACAACATAGTCGAATTTGTATGTTTACAACATCTTACGTCTTTTAGTCCTGATTGTTCTGACAAGTAGCTTTAAGAGGGCAGCTGTTTCGAGCGAGAGCGACACTGACGGAGCCAAAGAGGCTAACGAAGCCGACGACGCCCAAAGCGATGAATTTGAAGGGTTCGATGACGGTCCATCTGCCGCTCTAGCTGAGCTCGACACTACTACGTCACAAGAAGCTCCTAAAGCCAAGGTCAAAAATGTCGAAACCGCCTCTGAATCAGTACCGAAAAAGCCTGAGAAGGAGCCAAAAAAGAAACAGAACAAGAAACTAAATGCGAAAGAGGACAAAGAGTTGGAAACCAACGTGTTTGCCGGATTAGATGCCGTGGACGAGCCTCAAGACGACATTGACCTGTCTGAGTGGGTAAAATTAGACCTTTCTGCTGGAGTTCTGTCTTCGCTTGCCAAGTTGAAGTTCTCCAAGCCTACGGCGATCCAGGCCGCCGCCATACCGCACATCTTGGCTGGCCATGATGTGATAGGGAAGGCCTCGACAGGTTCCGGCAAGACTTTGGCTTTTGGAATACCCATAATCGAGAAATGGCTGGAGTTGGCAGAGGAAGGCAGCCCTGAGACGGCAACTAAAACTCCTCTAGCCTTGATTCTTTCACCAACCAGAGAGCTTGCCCATCAACTCACGGATCATATCAAGAACCTTTGTAACGGCCTGGAAAACTCCCCATACGTTTGCTCCATTACCGGAGGCCTTTCTGTACAGAAGCAGCAACGCCAATTGGAGAAAGCCGATATTGTCATCGGGACGCCTGGTCGTTTGTGGGAAGTTTTGAGCTCCAGCGCTGAAACCATGAGCTCCTTTAGGGGAATAAGCTACCTAGTGATAGATGAAGCTGACAGGCTCTTGACCGAAGGCCATTTTAAAGAGGCTGAGCAAATCCTGAACGGCCTAGATCGGGTTGAACTGGATGAGGAGGAGGAAGACGCTGAACCTTCTCCTAGACAGACCCTTGTCTTCTCGGCAACATTTCACAAAGGCCTTCAGCAAAAGCTAGCCGGGAAAGGGAAATTCAATCTCATGAGCCAAGAGGACTCGATGGAATACCTACTAAAGAAATTGAATTTCCGTGAGGAGAAACCAAAGTTTATTGACGTGAACCCCGTTTCTCAGATGGCTGAGGGGCTGAAGGAGGGCTTGGTAGAATGTGGCGCAATGGAAAAGGTACGCGAATTTCCCCCCGTTACGTTAATCTCTACGGCAAGAACCGG